GCCTCTTCACGTCAGGCTCTCTACCTGTCATTACCTCTGGTGATTCCTCTACCTCAGGTGGGTGTACTCAGGGGCCGCAACCTGGTCACTGTCCGCTCCAAGCCCATCCCCACCATCAGGGGCTCTGGTGAACAAGCGGACTGGGGCTTAGACTCCACGCCCTGGGGAATCCTGTCCTGTGGACTGCTAGAGTACACCAGGTGGTCCATAACAAATCCCCTCTTTCACTGTACAGCCAGGTGTGCAGGCCATCACTGAACTTTTTTCAGAAATTACATTTTTTACATTTATTTTTCCCCATCAATTTTCTTCAATACATTGTAGACCAGACTAACCTTTTTGTCCAACAATATATTGAAAACAACCCCAACTCATGTTATCCCCATCCGTTTGAATGGAGACGTCTCACAGTGGAAGAGTTTAAGTTGTTTTTTGGTCTTACAATCAACATGAGGCTTACAAAAAAAAAAAAAAATACATGCTTATTGGTCTACCCACACCCATCCATCACATTCCCATTTTTTCAGCTGTAATATCCAGGTCACACTATGACATGATCATGCTCTTCTTGCATTTCTGCAATAACTCACAGTGCCCTCCTCAACATCATCCTGACTATGACAAACTATACAAAAGTTGCCCCCTAATAAAAGAGATTTGCATAACTTTATGCCCCTGGCCAAAACATCTGTGTGGTGGACAAATCCCTTGTCCACTTTATTGACCAGCTGGGAATCAACAATACATTCCCATTAAAAGGGCCAGGTATAGAGTAGAGTTCAACAAGCTCCGTGAAAGAGCCATGGGATATGTTCATGCCTTCCATGTGTACAAAGGCAAAGACTCCCAGCTCCAGCTGTCTAATTACCAAACCTACATCGGCACAAGTGGACAAAAAGGTATATCTTCTACCTAGATAATTATTACACAAGTCTGTTTTTTTTCTGCCACCTGTACCGTGAGAAAACCTTGGCCTGTGGTACCACCCAAACAAACAGGAAGGGCTTCACACAAAGTCTTGTGACCACAAGGCTACAAAAAAAGTTGCAATTTATCTTTTCCATTTGGCCATTTTTAATGCATGCGTCACCAATCAGACATCAATTTATAGGAGCTGTCATCACTGCCCTAATCTACCAGCAATGATCTCCACCAGAACGCATTCCCTCTGATTGTGTCAGCAGGAGTTAGGAGAGACACCAGTTTTCATTGTCCCCAGTGTCCCTCCCAACTCGACCTATGCATCGGAGACTGCTTCTGACTTTATCACGTCACTAAAATATTAGTTCCTCTTTGGGATTTGTAATCCCCAGAGCAGGTCTGTTAGTCCGGAGTCTTTGAAGAGATTGGGTGGGAAGAAGCCTCTTCTCTTGTGCCCAGGTCTTACCTGGCCTGCTGCCTGGACCAATTCTTTGACTGTGCTGACCATATCTCTGTCTTCTATGAGCCAGGACTTTTTATGGACCATGTTCCTGCCTGCTGCCTGGACCAATACTTTTACTGTGCTGACCATATCTCTGCCTGCAATTACCCAAGACGTTTTATGGACAATGTTCCTTCCTGCTTGGGCCAATATTTTGGCTGTACTGACCATATCTCTGCCTGCACTGACCCAGGACATTTTATGGATCATGTTTCTGCCTGTTGCCTGGACCAATACCTTGGCTGTGCTGACCATATCTCTGCCTGCTGCCTGTACTGACCCATGACATTTTATGGACCATGTTCCTGCCTGCTGCCTGGACGATTCTTTTGGCTGTTGCTGACCACATTTCTGCCTGCGTCCTGCGCCAATGCTCTCCTCTGCAGACAACTGCTCTACTAAAACCACAGGTAATCATTTGTTTACCCTTTGTTCAGCTAGGCTGTGAAAAAGTCTCACACATATGTTATTGCCATACTCAGGAGGAGTAGCAAAATGTATTTAGGAGTGTAATTATTAGTATGTCCATGTTGTGTGTTAGAAATATCTTATAAATTAACAGCTTTGTGTAAAAAAAAAAAAAATTAATTTTCTTTCCACATTTTCCAAAAGCTTGAGGAAAAAAGAAACATGTTCAAAAGACTCATTATGCCTCATAGAACATATGTTGGAGTGTTTGATTTTCAAAATGTGGTCATTTTTTGGGTGTTTCCTTTGTCCTGGTTCTCCAAGGCCTTCAAAAGTGTGATAGGTAATTAGTAATTATCATTCAAAGTGTGAGTGCACTGAAAGCTGAAAATTCTCTATATAAAATTGATTAAATCCCCATCATTAAAATTACACCTACAAGAGAATGTATATAGCGTGCATTTATAGAACCAATCCTCAACCTGCTCACCACTTTGCTCTCAAGATGGCAGTGGTATGATGTCACGGGCTCAGCTCCTCCCTAGATATGTTGCGCCCTCCAATAGGGCTTCCTCAGTAGGTAGGGGAGCTGACTGTCCCAAGCTCTTAAATAGCCCCCACGTTGTCTGTATGGAAACCCAATGTAATACAATATGCAGTAACCGGAAGAATGGTGTTGACCCCAGAACCCAGAAGTTTGTCATCACTGGAACCAGAATTTTACCATTACCTGTCCATGCACAGACCCGGATGTACTCTTACAATCAGAAGAGCATCATCATACTTGCCCTCTGACTATGGAAGTTAAAACATCAACCAACTGGTGATATACTCCACACTTCTGGATTCCGCACTTTACGTACCACACAAACATGTTATACCTTCTATACGTAAAGTGTACACACAAAGTGAGTACTTATGACAGCTAAGGCTTGGTGCAAGAGCCAACGCTGTGTTTCTCTTATCTCAGCTATGTGAAATCCTTACACTGAGTTATTGTACTCTGACAGCAGGGAGACTTCCCCGCTATAAGAATACACTGATCAGTGCTACCAGCTATAGCCAGTGACACTGATCATTTGGGAAGAAGCTGACATATTGGTAGTACAGAAGTTGATTGGTAAATCAACTTCTTTACAACAAGCCTGCCCATACATGGATCAAAAATGTAGCCAGTCCCTGCTGAACAGGATACTTTGCCTGAACAGGCTGAATTTCAATCCAAGTATGGCCAGTTTATGGTGACAATAGTTGATCATACCTGCATGTGATGAATCTGTTCCTCCTAGTCTTAATAGGAAACCCATGTAACAGGGTGACAACTCAGGAGCACAGTCAGGATACTTTGCCTTCATGCACAATCACTAGGATTTTTTTTTATAAAAGCTGCAAAGTTAAAATATTAAAAATTAATTTTAAAATTTAAATTTAAAAATGTAATTAAAATTAAACAGATTTTTTCAATTGGGTTTCCTTTAAGGGACTAGGCATCCAACAGTCCCAGAAGTCATGAAACCTGTTAGATTTTTAGTTTAAATGGCAATTTACAGAAAATGGATTAATCAACAAATAGGCATACAGTACATACTGTATATGTACATATTTAGATGTATTGATGGGAGGCTTAAAAGAAACAGTATCTGTGTCTTTTTAAACAAGCTAAGATGATTGACTTGGGTGCACCGATCACTCAAACTAGCCTTCTTAAAAGATATAGAAAATTTTTGAAAGAAATAGGTAATGTGCCCTTTTGTCAACATACACAAAATGTAACACTGTTTGCCTGGAGTTCCAATTTAACAATGTTGTTTGCACAAGAGTTTGTTGTATTTTTACCTAATTATTTAGAATCTTTTTGCTCATATCACCTTAAATTACTTCTACAGTATTTTGCTGATATATTATTTATAAATCTTTTATTATAATATTTTGCACATTATGACAACTCTTGGTTGTTTCTACACAGCAACCTTCAGTTTCTAAACAGGACAGTCATTTGTATTAATAATACATTCCGGTTAGTACGCTTGGCACTTGTCTGAGAGAATGCTAAAAACCATTATCATGAACTCAGGTGGTTATTTTCAGTATATGAAATGAGCTGTGACCTTGATTCAATAGCTGATTGATTGCTGTTCCTGCTAATGAATTGTCATGTTTGGGTTTAAATTTCCTCTGAAAAGGATGATTTGTTGGCGTTGAAGCTCACTAATTACTATTTTTTAACAATGTAATAGAGTATCTATTCTGTAAGGATCTAAATACCAAAGATTTATAATGTACTTTCTGCATTAAAGGTACAATTTTCAAGCTTTTGAGGTTAAACACTTAATTTTGCTGAAAAGTACTTGAGATGAGTGGCTATTTGTTAGCCAGGTCAAAGGGCTTGCTAGTTTGAATTGAAAAGATATATTTTATAGAATTTCTATTTGGAAAACAAATCTGTGCAAAGTAATCTTGAAAAGCGATATTGTCAATAAGTCATTGAAGTTAATTAGATACACAGAGTGTTACGCTTCCAATTCTACTTGATTCTAAGGTTCTGTATTGCCTTTATCTGTCATTGAAGTGGAATTAAAGGTGAAATTTCTTAGGCAATATGTATTGCTGTTATACTGTAAAGACTTACCATGTTCACTGTTGTGTCAACTTGAAGTTTTCCTTTCTAATGTTTTAGATGCTCCCTTAACCACTTGCCTACCGGGCACTTATACCCCCTTCTTTACCAGGCCAATTTTCAGCTTTCACTGCTGTCGCACTTTGAATGACAATTGTGCGGTCATGCAAGATTGTACCCATATGAAATTTTTATCATTTTTTTCTCACAAATAGAGATTTCTTTTGGTGGTATTTAATCACCACTGGGTGCTTTACTTTTTGAGCTATAAACAAAAACATTGCAAAAAATTTGAAAAAAAAAATTGTTTTCTTTATTTCTATTATAAACTTTTTCAAACAGGTAATTTTTCTCCTTCACTGATGTGCATTGATGAGGCAGCACTGATGGGCACTGATAGGCGGCACTGATGAGCACTGATAGGCAGCACTGATGGACAGTGATAGGCAGCCCTGAAGGGCACTGATAGGCGGCACTGATAGGCAGCACTAATGAGGTGTCACGGCTAGGTGGCACTGATAGGGGGCACGGATAGGCGGCACTGATAGACAGCACTGATAGGTGGCACTGACTGGCGTCACTGCTGGGCACTGACTGGCGGCACTGCTAGGCACTAACTGGCGCAACTGCTGGGCACTGACTGGCACAACCGCTGGGCACTGACTGGTGGCACTGACTGCATTGATGGGCACTGGTGGGTGGCACTGGTGGGCACATGTGGGTGGCACTAGTGGGCACTGGTGGGTGAGCACAGGTGGGTGGCACTGCTGGGCACAAGTAGGTTGCACTTCTGGGCACAGGTAGTTGGCACTGCTGGGTGGCACTGCTGGGCGCACTGCTTGGCACAGGTGGGTGAAAATGGTGGGTGGCACTGCTGGGCACCGATCATCAGGGCACTGATCATCAGTGCCCTGATGATCGGTGCCAATCCCTGCTCTGACAACTGCCGGTTCTCGAATGTACTTTCCTCGTACTCTGACAGCGTGAGGAAAGTGCAGCCGAGATCCGGCAATTGCATTTCCCGGTGATCAGAGTGTCATTGGACACGGCTGATCACATGGTAAAAGGCCGCTGTGATTGGCCTTTTACAGTGATCAGCTGTGTCCGTAGGACACCGATCACGGAGATCGCCGGGTGCACACCCCTGGGGGTGCGCACGTGCTCTGGGAGGACGTCATATGACGCCCTCCCAGAACTGGCCGGCCGCAGTGTAGGCGTCATTGGGCTACAGTATCTGCGGTTGGCAAGTAGTTAAAGTGTCATTAAACCCACGTCATAAAAAAAACGATCAGTAAGTATTATATGCTGTTCATACTCACTATGGGGATTCGTTTTCTGTATTCTGCAAAAAACCTGGTTGACCCTGCTGTTTTTTTATCTCCTTCTTTTGAATATGTCCCCAATGCTGTTGGTGATTTTGCAGAGCAGTGTTCGCAGCGACTGCTCAGTTTTCAGTGAGTTTCTATACTGAACATTTCCTTCCTATCACATCTGAGCAGCCCATGTTATTACTGAGTCACGAATGTGGGCGTATACACAGTGGGTAATGACAGCTCACTCCTTCCCTGCTCCCCTATGCCCACTAACCAGCTCAACACAATGTGGACGGATTATTACATCTAGATTGATGGAGGCTTCACCTCTCTAATATTCTAAGCCACAGGCTGAAGAGGTGTGATGCAGCCTGTGACTGGCAGAAATCTGCCCACTTCATATTATTGTAAAAAAGAAAAATAAAGATTTGATTTCAAATATATATTTGTATGACAATTTAAAACAGTTTACTGATATTAATTATTTTTACTCTGTATCCCACAGACTGTTTTTCTTAATTTTGAATAGGTGGTAAGCAGCAGAGGACTTGAAGCTCCTCCTGCCACTATTTCCTTGCAGACAAACTAAGAAAGAACTGGATCATGTGACAGCGGTATATAGATTAGGAAAAAAGGTACTCAGAAGTATTATTTTAATTTAAAAAAAAATGACAGAGCTATCATCCACAGAAAGGGAAGGGATTATGTAAATTAAACAGCTTGTGTGTAGTATTACTTAAAGTGCTGGCTTTGCCTTTCAGTTTCAGGGTGTTTCATTCCCTTGCAGGGTCCTCTAGAGCCACCCTTTTGTGTATGCTTCCTGGATCAGAGTACATGGGGATGTGATGACACTGCCTGCACCTACATGCACAGGCATCTAGGGACTAGTCCTGCTGAATGAATCGGGGGAATAGTCACGTAATGTGTGCACTCTCCCCAACAGCACATTTGGGAAAGAGGTGCATATTAAACAGGAGGACAGGGGATAGAACACAGAAGAAAATAAGTATTTATGTACTAATTATTAATAAATTGTTTAGTAGGCTTTATTAAGCTAAGGATTGCTGATGAGTTGCTGTTAAAAACCAAGAGGCTTTATTATTATCTTAACATGTCCTAATAATGACGTTTTAAGCCTAAAAATGGCTGTAATTGTCAATTGACAGTTTTTAAATATAAGTGTATAAAAGCTTTTTCTATTTGTTTTTCATAGTCACTTAAAATTTAAATAAAAATTGATTATTTGTGCAGCTGGCAAGCCACTGAAAATGAAAGCAAGTATTCTAATAGCAGAGTAAAAAAGGCTTCAAGTGGGCATTCAGTGAAAGCGTTGTATCCTAAAGCAGCACCAACATCTCTCTGATTTCTACTAGGCGCCTATATTCAGCCATCTAGATTAGCTGATAAAGGATAAATTGCTGTGCATAGGAGTTCATTTATTCTGCCCCCAAGGTACATCAAGAACATGAATGGTGTGAACCTCCTGCGCTACCGAAAAAATATGAACTAACAGGGATGGTGTGAACCTCCCACACTACTAAACCCCCAGAAAATGTGTACAATCAACTTAAGAGAGAAGCCGCCAACACTACATCAAATACCCATGATCAACAAAGATAGAAAATAAAAAAATGTGGCGCTACTCATAAAACTTAAAAAATACTAATCAAAAAATTAAAATTATATAGCACATATAATACACCTCGTGAGGTCAATATACATATAATAATCAAGTGGTCATAGTGATCAAAAAAATATATACTAAACTAATATCATAAAAAATATAATATATTAATACTGTGTATAAACAATCTTTGTGACAATTTCTAGCACATGAAAGCAATAAATAATAATAATTAAACCGTGATCAATCATGCAAATAAGGTGCAAAGAATGTCACACTAAAACACACAGGAAAAATAAAAAATGTGTAAACAAATGTCCAATGGGTGGGTGACACCACTACTGCAATTGCCAGCACACGTGATTATAAAGTAACTCCAGGTGCAGAAACTCCAACACACGGCTAGATTAGCCTCTCACCTCCAGGCTTCGACCCGTGAAGGTCAAAGCGTGTAGTGGGATCAAACCCTTAAATCCTCTCAGCATCTACTGATATCCACTGATCCACTTTCCCCATCCATAGATATCGTTCTCTTGGGGTCGATAATCAAGCAGTGGCTCCTCTTATGAGATATGGGTATGTGCCAAAAAAATAAACACAATCTCCCATAGTGTAGCAGGTAAATTTAATGAAAATCAAACCATAAACATATGGAGACAACTCACATCCATCCTCAAAGTGGCTTTACAACCCTATGCTTTTGGGTGTAATCTGCATGGGTGTACAGGAATCAAAAAAAGGTGCACCAAGATGGCCATTTGTGCGTCACCACGTCAGGCCGATTGCGTCACAATTCATGTGACTTCCTCAGGGCCCTCACGGGTCCTGTGTGTTTTAGTGTGACATTCTTTGCACCTTATTTGCATGATTGATCACGGTTTAACCTCCCTGGCGGTATGATTCTTTCCGATTTTTGGTGCTGAAAGCGGTACCATTATTTTGCATGGAAATATGTAGTTTTTTTTATTGTAGGCTGTAATATTTAGGAATAACTCACTGAAATCTGTCTGAACAAGAGTCTATTAAACATCCCAGGGATGATAAAATTTTAAACACAAAATCATAAATTATAATTTAATAAATAATCATAAAAAATAATAATATAATATTAATACATTTAATTCAATAATATAATTAAACCAAAAACACTGAAATTTGAAATATAGCGCCAAGTTCGCACATCGCTGAGCAAAGTCGCAGAATCGTTTTCAGTGTCTGATGACGAATTTCCCCACAAATCATTATCACTCAATTCTGCAAGTAGTTCTGATTTACTATCGCTGTTCTCTAGCTGGTCTAAAACCGCTTTTGACCTAAAGGGACACTTTTTGGACACCATGGACGTTTCTCAGTTTCAAGGCAGAAAGAACAGACAAAATGCAGGCAGGGCACAGGACAAAGCACTAGGGACAAAATGTATGTGAAATTGGTTGAGGCAGCAATGTTTTACTAGGTAAAATGTAAAAAAAAAAAATGACATTATTTAAAATGTTTAAATTTCCCGCCCGCGTCCCGACGTCACAGGGACAGGACACAGAAGCCGGATGCCGGCATCGGCCGAAGGAGATGGCCGGGGACGCTGCAGGGGACACATCGCGGGAGCGCAGGGTAAGGTAAGTGAAGAACAAATGCCGGAGCAGTGCCGCATGGTATTCCCAAGTGTAGCTCGGGGTTACCGCTCTTGGTACTGAAATGTTACCCCGAGCTACACTCGGGAATACCGCCAAGGAGGTTAATTATTATTATTTATTGCTTTCATGTGCTAGAAATTGTCACAAAGATTGTTTATACACAGTATTAATATATTATATTTTTTTATGATATTAGTTTAATATATTTTTTTTTTGATCACTATGACCACTTGATTATTATATGTATATTGACCTCACGAGGTGTATTATATGTGTTATATAATTTTAATTTTTTGATTAGTATTTTTTAAGTTTTATGAGTAGCGCCACATTTTTTTGGTTTTACATCAAGAACATGCACTAAAATGCTCAGTGAACATTCTAAAAAAGATTGCAAACAGGCAGATAGAATTGTTTTCTTTCAGACAACAATTTTAATTTTTATTTTAATAAAATGTTATATTTTATTGCATAGCTTGTTTCTTCTGCTATAAAGAGCATGCCTGCTCACTCTTTCTTATTTTTGAACTTTAATATCCCTTTATCCTCCCTGGCTGTCTGATTATGTCAGTATTTCTGTGCTCAAAGCGGTACATTGTTTTCAATAGAAATGTTTTTTTTTTATTGTAGGCCTGTAATTCTTAGGAATAACTCACTGAAATCTGTCCGAACAAGAGTCTAGTAAACATCCCGGGTATCATAAAATTTGAAACACAAAATCATAAATTATAATATAATAAATAATTATAATAAATTAAATTTAATAATGTAATCAAACCAAAAACACTGAAATTTGAAATAGAACTCCAAGTTCGCACATCACTGAGCTTAGTCGCAAAATCGTTTTCAGTGTCTGATTAACGAATTTCCCCATGAATCATTATCACTCAATTCTGCAATTGGTTCAAATTTACTATCGCTGTTCGCTAGCTGGTCTAAAACTAAAGGGATTTTTTGGACGCCATGGACTTTTCTCAGTTTCCAGGCAGAAAGAACAGTAAAAATGCAGGCAGGGCACAGGACAAAGCACTAGGGACAAAATGTATGTGAAATGGTTTGATACAGTAATGTAATACGATCAGATTTTAGTGTATTGAGTGAATGTCAAGTTTTTACATTTTTAAAATTTCCACCGGTTCCCCCCCCCCCCCCGTACGTACTGACACTCGCAGGGAACGGAACCCGGAAGACGTATGCCGGCATCGGCCGGAGGACATGGCCGGGGACGCTGCAGGGGGGACATCGCGGGACCGCAGGACAAGGTTAGTGCTCGAGGGATCCCAGAACAATGCTGCAGTGTAATCCCAAGTGTAGCTCAGGGTGATCACTTC